GTTCTACCTAGGTTGCCCTTTTTGTTAATCTGCGGGTGTTCTGTTGTGCATAGGGTTGTGAAAACCAGAATCTGTACCACTGAAAATTCCTATGGATCATGATTCACATAAAGGGCTGCCACTAGCTGGAAACAACTGTAACTGGTTTTCTGAGAAATATAAAACTTTATACCATGTAAACATATTTGACAGAACCACAGGCCACTCTACAGAGAAAATAATAATTTGGTTATCATTATTCTGAAGGAAAAGAAAAAAGCCTAAGTTCAAGGCACTCATTTTCTCTAATGTATCTTAGGTATCATGCTTCTGTTACAAAGTAAAACTCATCAAGTATAAATTTTAACATAGTAACATTTAAAAATTTTCCTCTAGAGGACTATACTCATAAATGAAAATACCTGCATAAGTGAATCCAATATTAATGTGGCAACTGACTTTTCTTCATTATCTTGTTCAAAAAGAATTTCTACAACAGAATCTCTAAAATAAAAAAAAAATACACACAATATAGTAAGGGACTTATCAAGAGCTCTGTGGTCATAGTACTTTAATATACCAATACTACATTAAAACAGAGTAATTCTTAAAGTATAAGATATTTCCCCATTTAAAAGAATGAAGAACAAATAATATCTACCGTACAAAGGGTGATGTGAAGATTCATTAACAGAACAGTGCTTGGTGTTTAGGAAGCACTACTACATAATCATTAGCTATTTCTATGGAGGTCTGGTGGCTCAGTGGTAAGGAACTATCTTGCCATCTCAAAGGCAAGAGGGTTCAAATCCACTAGCTGCTTGACAGGAGAAAGACAGGCAAGGCAGTCTTCTCCTGCGTGATTAAACTGCCTCTGAAAACCCACTTGCTGGAAAGTCAGCTATGAGTCTGTTCCAACTCGATGGCAAAAAGAAAATTATTATTTATAGGTTTACATTTATTTCATGTTCAATTATAACTACTCAAACTTCAAACCAGAGAAAATGTATTCTATGAAAGTTAATTATATTCCATAAGCATTTTAGAAAGTCAAAGGCATTGGTTTTCTAAATTGAAAACATCTTTTAAAATATCATAATGCATAATGCATTGAAATAGATGAGGGAGAAAACTGTTTAAGAGGGAAATTTATTAGGTATTTTTGTCATGACAGGAGTCCAGAGCAAAGACTGTATAGTGGAGTGGACTTAGGGGGTGGGATTATAAAACAATGAAAGAATTTTTCTTTTACTTTTCCAAGAGGATAGTGTAGTAGGGGGGAGTGTTGGGAGGGAAGAAAAGTGCAACAATGAATGAATGGAAATCCAAAGTCTCTGTAAATTTTTATTGAAACTAATAATAAATTAAAAAAAAACACACTAATAATACACTAAAAAAATAATACACTAAGTGGTAATGTATATCTGATAAATACATATTTTCAATTTTACTATTCTAACTCAACTTAAAAGTATTTTTAGGTAGGATGAGGAAGGTCTTTGTGGTGATGGAATAGTTCTGTATTATGATTGTGACAGTGATCATACAAATACATATGTAGTACACACACACACACACAGACACACATGTTAATGGAAATTTCCCAGGTTTGATATTATACTATAATACGTAGGATGTAATCACTGAAGAAACTTACTGAAGTGTACACAGGGGCTTCTTTGTATTACCTTGGAAACTTCCTATGAATCTTTTTTTTTTTAAATTTTATTTTATTATTTTTGTGTGAGTGTACCATCAAATCAGATCTGACTGATACAGGAGGAGACTGCCCCTCCTTCCCCGGCACAGCATCTGGTGGATTCGAACCATGCGCCTCTGGGATTGTTGTTGCAGCTCCATGCCACTAGAATCTAAATATTTTAAAAGAATTCCCATTTTTCCTCTGGACACACTGTTTACTAGTTAAAGTGATACTAGCTTCCTTTTTAGCTAGATGTAGCCAGACTAGGTACCAGATTAGATACAGACAGAAGTTTCTTTAAAAGGTTAAGAACAGTCTTTTGCTTGCTTGCTTTCTTCAAAAACAGACATGATGCCAGAAGTGCAGCACTATATGGACCACCACGGCCAAGGAGGGGAGAGGAACAACGGAGATTGCTTTGGTTCCGCATGGGAGCTTGCATACCACACCTGGACTGTGTACCTCTGAATTTTTTTATATGAGAGACTAATTTCTATCTTTTTGAGGCCACAATTTTCAGGCTTATACCTCATGGCCCATCAGAATTATATTAGACAACTGGAATCATGCTATGCAAACTATTTTATGGGTATTGAATCTTTTTTCAAAACATAAACATTTCTATTTATGAGACTCAACATACTTTGTCTCCATTTTACCAGTTCTTGTTGTCAGGTGCCTGGTCCATTCTGATGCATAGTGACTTTATGTCCAACAGAACTCCACGTTCTATTAATAGGCCTGCAGTAGGCGGCACGTTCATGACACGTCAGCCTCCTGCTGCTACGCTGGCACACTACACTGCTGTTGCCCTCAATTGAGTTGCATGCTTAATGGTCAGTTTCCTTTTCTCAATTCTTCAGTGTCAGTTGACTTGATATTAAAATTAAATAACTATTACTTAGCCAGTACAATATATTTCCTTCAAAGAAAAGGAAGATAAATGCTTTGGGAAAATGAAATAACTTAGATAAGACAGTTTTTAAAAGTCTAGAAGAAACTATCTAAAAGGATCCTATACCAATACTGATTCACAAGTATCAACACTGATTTTGTCCTTCAAACAAAACAAAAAAACTAGAAATCATAAACCAAGAATTTTTGGTTTAATAAATTATAATTCAGAACTCTATATGCAGAATTAGCTTCAAAGTAAAGGTCTTGGGAAATGTTTGGTAAGCAAATAAATGCTTATAAATTTGAAAAATAAAATGTTTAATATATTCTTTAAAAAATATGGTCCTTCACTTAAATTCACCAATCAATAACCTGTCCTATTTGGGTCTGTCAACTTTGATTTCATTGGAATTAGACCTTTAGCAGGGGAAAAAAAAATCTTAGCAGACATTGTTGTTGTGTACCATCAAGTCAGAACCGACCCAGAGCTGAGCCTCCCACAGGTTTTCAGAGGCCGTTAATCGCATGGGAGGAAAGTGCCCTTCAGTCTCCTGTGGAGTAGCTGGTGGTCTCGAACTGTGTGCTTTCTGGATTGCAGTGTGGTTTCTTGCTCATAGCCACCAGAGTTCCCCATAGCAGACAATAGTAAATAAACTAAATGGCTCTGGGAGCCATAGGGCTTCCTTTACCATTAATTATTCCTTACTATTAGTAACTAAGTGGTTGAATATCCCTACCAACTAAGAAAATTTTTAAACTGCTAAATAATCAGGAAAATATGTAAAATAGTAATTTAAATGACCAAGAGGTTACACTCTTGCTTTTCTGTTCACCTAACATACCACTTTTATACACTGGTAGTCCCATGGACACACATGAGATCCATTCTTAAGTGTGTCTTTAACTCTTATTTGTAGGTAAATCAGAATAGGTGCATATGGTTCTTACTTAGCCTTACTTAAGTGCAAAAAAAGCTGGACACGCACAAATGAAGGTGAATATGATGTCAGTTGGAGTTTGTTCAATCATTTCAAACTGAGGGCAAATTTACATAACATTAAAGGGTAAGTTAGTACTAGTTGTGTATAGTAAGATGCTGGTAACCAGGAAATGTACTGTATTTATATTCATCCTTCAATTATCAAAATAATCTCTATATTGTTGTAGTTATTGTAGTTAGGTGCTGTTGAGTGGAGTATGACCCATAGCAACCCTATGAACAAAAATGCTGAACCCTGTCCTATCCTGTGTCATCCTCCCACTTCCTAACACCCTAGAGCCCATTGCAGCAGTCACTGTACTGTGTATGTCTGTCTGTCTGTCTATCTATCTAATTAAGGATCTTTCTTTCACTGATCCTCCACCTTTACAAGCATGATGTCTGTCTTCAAGGACTAGCCTCTCCTAGCAACAAGCCCAAAGTATATGAGATGAAGTTTTATCATCTTTGCCTCCGAAGAGCACTCCAGCTGCATTTTCTCCAAGACAGATTTGTTTGTTCTTTTGGGTTAATTTTATAAATTTACTAGATTAACATTCTCAAAATCTAATAGTACCTTTACTAGCATAATTTTTTTTATCTTCTAATTTTATAAAATAATATAAACAGCATAGAGAGAAATTGATTGGCCTAGAGGACAGAAAGTCACTCTCCCAAGCCAAAGGTGGTGACTCTAATCCGCAGCCCTCAGGCCTGCTTTTACTTGTTTTTGGCAAAACATTCTTCTAGGTCGTATAACTCTGGTAGGTCTACTTGCTATACAGAGGTAAATTGTGGTTGCTGTGAAGCTGAACACTGTGACACAGATGTGTCAAATGTGAGAATGTTATCCATGGTGAACAGTGTTTGGTGGAGCTCCCCGATTAAAACAAGCTTGGAAGCAGGAACAGCATCTACTTCCATAACAGCTTGCTTCTGGAAACCCTATGAACCTGGAGAAAGGATGAAAGTTATACCAGTGTCCAGGTCTTTCAGTCATAGGGTCGCTATGGGTCGCCTCCAACCCAACGGCACTTAACAAAAACAATATAAACTTTATAAATTTAGTGTGGAAGAAACAAAAATTACACAGGTAACAAGACAATTATATGGGTCCTTAGTGATCATTAATAAAACTCTAGGGAGCTCTGGTGCTATAGTATGTTGAGCGCTCACTGCTAACACAAAGATGGCTGACAAATCGAGAATCCGCTCTGTGGGAGAAAGATACGTAAGGTCCTCCTATGAGGTGTACAGCCTTCAGAAAGCCCGCTGGAGGGCCAGCTACGAAGTGGTCTGGACTTGATGATGAGTTTGAATTTTTATTAAAAGTTTATAGTCTATCACTGAAAGAATAGTCTAATATTAATAAAAGATAGATTGTAAATGCTGAGTTTATTTGGAACAAAACATTCTTTCTAATATGAAAAAATTTAAACCAGGAGTCAGAAAATTATGGCATTGATTGCCAAATCCAGCACATTGTTAGATTTTTGTAAATAAAATCTTTGTGCAGTGCAACCAAGCTCAGTCATTTACTTATCATTTATGATTGACTTCTGTGCTAAAACTGTAGAATAGAAGACCACAAAGCATGAGATATTTCCTACATGGTCTTGTTTTTTTGGTTTTTTTTTTCTATAATTATATTTTATTACATGGTCTTTCTGAAAAAATTTTGTTTATTTTTACATTAAAGTATCATAATTCCTGCTGATTATTATTTTCACTAACCAAATTTGTTTTTAATTATCCTGTTGTTCGGGTAAGAACTTCTTTATAAGTTTTAAAAAAATCTAAATCAGTAATACTGAAGTAAAAATTTACAAAAAACTTTTCAGTTCATTTTTGCTCTTAAAGAATTAAAAGTCTAGGGAGCTCTGGTTGCCTAGTGGCAAGAAGCTGCACTGTAATCCCAGAGGTACAAGATTTGAATCTACCAGATGCTCTGCTGGAGAAGGAGGGGCAATCTCTTCCTGTACCAGTCAGATCAGATTTGATGGCACACTCATGCATACACACACACACACACACACGCACACACACAAACACACACACAAGAATTAAACGTCTAACCTGATTGATCCAAGGACATGTAAAATCTTCTCTCCATCTAATGGGTAGTCAACATTTGGGGGTGGTGTAGGACGCTGAAATAAAAATATCCCAAGTGTAAGTGTTGGTTTTAGGTACCCGAGTCAAGTACAACTCATGGCGACCCTATGAACAGCTAACCAGAACCCTAGCCTATCCTGTTCCCTCTTCATCTCTGACACACCAGAGTCCATTCCTGAAGTCAACTTGTCAATTCATCTTATTGGAAGTCTTGCTCTCCTTCGCTGACCCTCCATCTTTGAAAGCATGATGTCTTTTTCCAAGGAATAGCCTTACCTAGCAACATATCCAAAGTATGAAAGACAAATCTTCACCATCTTTGCTTCCAAGGAGCACTATGCCTGCACCTTTTCAACACGTATCTGTTTATTTTTCTGGCAGTCCATGGACTGTCCAGTATTCTTCTCAAGCACAATTCAAAGGCATCAATTCTTTAGTCATTTCTATTCACTGTCCAGCTCTCTGATACATAGCAGGTGATCCAGAAGACCATGACCTGAATCAGGTGTACTTTAGTTTTGAACTAGTATCTTTGCTCTTCAGCATTTTGGAGAGGTCTCTGACAGAGGACTTGCCAAGTGCAATGTCTCCTGATTTCCTGACTGCTAGTACTAATGGGATACTGTTGATCCAAGCTAGAAGAAATCGCCAACAGCTGTAATCCTTTCTCCATCTATCATAATGTTGACTCTTGGTTCTGAAGTGAAGACCTTTGCTTTCTTCATGTTAAGATGTTATCCATACTGAAGGCTGTAGTCCTGGATCTTCTACAGCAAGCATTTCATATTCTCTTCACTTTCTTTCTATAAGCAAAGTTGTGTCATTTGCATAATGCAGGTTGTTGATGTGTCTTCCTCCAATCCTGATATTACATTTCTCTTCATAGAGTCTGCCTTCATGAATTATTTTCTTAGCATACAGCTTGAATATGTATGGAAAAGGATACAACCTTGTTGCAAACCCTTCTCAATTTTAAACCATGCAGTATGCAGTGTTCCTTTGCTCTGTCTGGATAGCAGCTTCTTAATCTTAAGGTATAGATTCCATATGATCACAACTAAGTGCTCTGAGATTCCCATTCTTCTCAATGTTAGTAATAATTTGTTATGATCCAAATGCCTTTGCATAGTCAATAAAGCATAAATAGACAGTCTTCTGGTATTCTTTACTTCCAGCCCGTATCCTATGACACCAGCAATGACATACCTGGTGCCATGGCCTCTTCTAAAACCTGCTTGAACTTCTGGTAGTTCCTGTCAATATACTGTTCCAGCCATTTTTGAATGATCTTAAACAATATTTTGCTTGCATGAGATATTAATAATATTGCTTGACAGTTTCCACATTCTGTTATATCACCTTTCTTGGGAATAGGGACAAATACGGTTCTTTTCTAGTTATTCAGCGAGGTAGGTGTCCTCCTGATTTCCTGGAATAAACTGGTGAGTGCGTCTAGGGTTGTATCTGTTAGTTGAAACATGTCAATTGGTATTCCATAAATTCCTGGGCCTTCTTTTTTGCCAGTGCCTTCAGTGAAGCTCAAACTTCCTCTTTTATCATGATTGCCTCCTTCTTCATAGGGTACTTCCTGAAATTTTTCAGAGTCAACTAATTCTTTTTGGTACACTGATGCTGTGTATTCTTTTCCTCTTCTTTTGATGGGTCCACGATCATTCAAGATTGTGCCCACAGCATCTTCCAGTATTGCAATTTGAGGCTTGAATTTTTTTTTTCAGTTCTTTCAGGTGGAGAAATGTTAAGTGAGTTTTCCCCTTTTTATTCTGACTTCAGCTCTTAGCACATTTCATTGTAATATTTTGCTTTATCTTCTCAAGCTGCCCTTGGAATCTTCTATTCATCAATTTATTTGGCATCTCTTCCTTTTGTTTTGGTTTCTCAACCTCTAATGCAATTTTCATGGTCTTGACATCCCATTAGGTCTTTTCTTTCTCCCCCTTTGTAATGACCTCTTGCTGTCTTCATGGATGGTATCTTAATGTGTCTCTCATAGTTTCTCTTGTCTTTGATCATTGGTGTTCAAGGCCTCAATTCTGTTTTTGAGATGATTCTTAAATTCAAATAGGACAGACTCAAGGTTTTATTTTGTTTTCTGTAGACTAGCTTTAATTTTCTTCAACTTCAATTTGAACTTCTACATGAGTAACTGATGATCTGTTCCACAACTGGGACCTGGGCTGGTTTTGACTGCAGATATTGTGCTTCTCCACTGATTCTTTCTGAAATATAGTCAATCTGATTCCTGTGAAAATTATTAGGTGAAGTTCATGTGTAAAGTTATCATTTGTGGGTTTTTTATGTTTTTGTAGAAAGTTATTTGCGATGAATAAATCATTGAGCTCACAAAATTCACTCATTTGATCTCCAGCCTCATTTCTGTCATCAATTCCATACTTTCTGACCACTCTTATTGTTTCAAACTTCTGCGTTTGAGTTACCAAGAATTATTATGCATCTTGATTGCTGTTTGGTCAGTTTTGGACTGCAAAAGTTGGTAGAAACTCTCAACCTCCTCTTCTTTGGGTTTAGTTCTTGGTGCATATATTTGAGTAATAGTCATAGTAACAGATCTTCCTAATATATCTAATAATCCCCCAAGAAAGAATGCATCTTTATTTTTAACTTACCTCAGCTTTCCCATCAATGTTAAATTTTGCTGCTTGGATATTTAGTCCACGCTTCAGATCACTCACAAAACAAGTACGAACTTAAAAGGAAAGGCAGAAAAAAAGGATTTTGTTATACTTTGTCATTAAGTGCAGTCAATCTACAGTGCAGTAGAAATTATTTCATTCCAGAGCGCATGCTGATCATTCAGATTTTATAAACTCCATAGAAGGGTCTTTAGTTGGCTTGTAACTATTTGTCTACAAATAAAAAAAGAGACTACCTTTTTAAATTCACTTAGGAATCATAGACATGGTTTAATAAGTGTGTCCAGTGTATTTTACACCCTATTCAAGAATTTCCAGAGTAAAATGATTGACTTTATAAGAATACATAGGGGAAAACTTGAGGTAAAAAAACACTAAATAACCTCAATTATGGCTATCTTAAGCAACAGGACTGCTATTTCCTACTGTGCAAATTACGAGTTTGTAGTAACAGTATAGTCACTATCTATAATGGAGCATTTACTTTGATAACATATCATAGAAAATGGCAAGAGCTTTCATAAATACAAATAAAACTCCAAATTCCTATTAACATTATTCTACAACCTGTATACTAAATATTTAAAATATATTAACTAGGCAGACATAAAAAACTTTATGTATATAGCAAATAATATATTCTGTGTATATATATTAATATCTATAAGAATATGTACTCTCCATATCTGTGTATAATAATATATAGTCTATGTTTATTTAGGCAACATATAAGAATATTTAGAAACACATTCCCTCTGATTTAACACTTAAGAAAAGGAAAAAACTGGGACCCTCAGATATTCACCTTTAATGTCCTCTAAGACACCTTCTGGAATTGAACCTGAAAGAGAAATTTTACAAAGAACTTAATAAATTTCAATCACATTTCTATTTTCCACTTTGATAAAATAAAATTAAAACAAGCACACAAAAACTACTACAACTGTGTAGTGGTGGTGAGGAATATAGAAAAGAAAATAGAGTTTGCTTTCATGGGAGAAACTGAATCATCTATCATTCAACACCAACCCAAAGCACAGTGCCAGGTATGTGGGGTGTCCTAGACTTGTAAACTTTAGATGCCTTTGAAATACAGTATTGGCAAAGAGTGCAGAATATACTATGGACTGCCAATAGGACTAACAATCATGTCTTGGAAGAACTGTAGCCAGAGAGCTCTTTAGAGGTGAGGATAATGAAACTTCATCTCATACACTTTAAGCATGTTGTCGGGATAGGCCAGTACCTGAAAAAGAACACCTATACTTAGAAAGGTGGAAGACTAAAGGGTAGAAAGACTCTGAAGGAGATGGACTGACATAGTAATTATCAATTGGCTTAACCACAGCAAAGATTGTGAGGATAGTGTCAGAAGAGGGCAAGGTTTCTATCTATTATACACAGGGATACTGTCAGGTGAAGTCAACTAAAAGGCACCTAACAACAATAATGTTACTGTAGTGCATTATATGTTGGGTTGTTAACTAGATGGTTCATGGTTTGAATCCACCAGCTGATCCATGAGAAAAAGGTGAAATAGTCTGCTCCCATTAAGTTTTGCAGCCTCAGAAACCATAAGGGGGGTCCCTATAAATTTAAATCAATTTGACAGTAATGAACTTCGCTTGGTTTTTATAGAGGAGAGAAGTGTTAGGTGGTTTATAAGATCCTGTAATTAACACATTGCCGCACACTTTTAAATTGAGACCATGCGTAGAAACATATTTTTTTTGCCGTCATTTGAGGCAATATGTTTAAAGAAGGAGCATAATAACCTATAACATTCTAGAATTATCTTTGCCCTAAAAATATTTTTTAACAAAATCCTAGTTAGCTGTTCACAACTTAAAAAAAAACACAAAACACTCAACCAGCAAACCTAGAAGGCGTCAAAGAAATTTGATTATAAGAAAAAACAATTTTCTTTAGGCAATATGTAAGGCTTGAAAAAAGAATTTCGTTTTTCTAGGATTAAATACTGTTGCAGGGAGGGAAGGGACACTTTAATCTTAGCAAATAAGCACAATCATTGGGAGAAAGAAAAACCAAAGCCATCTATTGAATTTGGCTCAGAAAAATTATAAACTTCAGCTCATTTAGGAGAGTAAGAATCATAACATTCCTGTATAAAAAGTCTATTTTAAATTGCCTATTTTAAAAATCAATGGTGCTCTTAAGAGGCCTGGGCTATATGTGCACTACACTGGGAAGCCTTAGCATGTGCCGCTCAGCACCCTCCAATCTCTTTGCGTCAAGAGGCATTGAGACACCTGAGAATGGGCAATAACAGGTCTGCATATTTTAAAATCAATGTCCTTAGCCTTTGTAAATTGTTAATTATTACAGGATATTCCTTCTCTCTTAAGCTATATTCTATATATTAAATAAGAGCCTCACTCAAAATTCATTTAAGGATACTTAAGTATGCCTAATACTTCTAATCTTTCTTAAGGACCTTGAAAAGAAATATTTTAGATGTGCTGACATTTCTGATCCTTCTTATTATTGTTAGCTGCCTTCAAGTTGTCCATGACTCATAGTGACACTATGAACAACAGATCTGAATCTTGCTTTATCCTGTGCCATCCTAGCAATCTTTAATATGCTTGAGCCCACTGTTAGGATCACTGTGTCAATCAATGCATCTTGTGTAGATGCTAAAACAAGCATGACTTGATTCCTCGGTGAATGGAACTGTAAGGTTAACTATCACAGACATAAATTAGGAAGTGGGGAAGAGGAGAATTAGTAAGAGTCTGAGAAGGTTGGTTAAAAAAAAAAGGTATCTGAGAACATTATACAGCCACAATTTTAAGAAAATTGCTAAAAAGGATCTAAAGAAATCTTTAATAAAGAGATCCCAGAATACCGCACAGAGCCTATTCTCTTTGGAGATCTTCTACAAATTAACTGCCATGATTTATCAAAAGGGTAAGAAAGTTTATCCCGAACAGAAAAAGTTATAACCTAAATTACAAAATGAAGAATGGCATTGTTTTAGATACCAATAAGAAACTATAGGAAAATAACATGTTACCAAGTATAAATGTCTTAAAAATCTCTTTTAAGATTTATTCAGTGTCCAGGTACTAAGCTAAGAGTTACAGACCAAAAAGTAAGAGAGAGCACCTCAAGCTTACGCCAGGAAAAAGACAGGTTAAAAGACAAATTATCATGTGTTATAATGTACACTAAATTAAGTGCTGTTAAGGACTCAAAAGGAAGGGAGCCATTTTAAAATTTTTTTATATTTTTGTTTAAGGAAGGTAGAATGGCTTCACAATTAATATAGTATTCCAATTAGATCAAATAGAGGAATCAAAAACCCACTAAGAAAGGAAAAATATCCTAGGTAAAGAAATACATACAACATTAAAAAAAAAAGAAGTATATTGAAAAGGTAAAAGAAGATATAATGAAGGCATAAGATTATAATAATGAATATTAATGAAGGCATAGGATTGTCAAAGGACTTAATGTACCTAAAGAATTTAAAATATTTACTACAGTGGAAATAAGATAAAAAGGGTAGTTACTGATTTAAGAAGAATTAGAAAAACAGCAGACTAAGGAAATACATAGGTAGTCTCAATTTAGAGCATATTCAAGTTAAGATAAATAACATACAACAACTGTTTGTTTTTGGTGGTATTTTAGAGGGGAAGGCACATATTATTGTTTGTTCTGGTGGCCTTGTGGCAAGCAGCTAGCTGTGCAGCAATCCCGAAGGCAAGCAGTTCAAGGCCACCATTTGCTCTGCAGGAGAAGAATGGGCAATCTCCTCATGTGTGATTAACGGCCTCTGAAAACCTGTGGGAGGGTCAACTGTGGGTCAGTTCTGACTCTGTGATACACTACACTCACATCCACACACACACACACACTGTACTATAATGTTTCAGCATGTAATTTGAGGGTATTATCATTCTCATGTCAACCTCCAAAGACAAATAAAGATCAGATAGTAAAGATAATAATCATGACAACATTAAAAAAATTTTTTTGAGGCATCTGACTTATGTCAGAAATGTCAGAACCAATTTACAAGGGTGTCACTGGAATGGAACCCCCATAAGTTAGGGAGGGAGCAAAAAAAAAAAAAAATAAGTAAGCTCCTGTAATATTAAAAGCAAACAATAATAAATGCCTAGAGCAAAATAATGTATTTGTTATCGGATCTATCTGACTGTGGAAGATAGAAAAGTTGAAAGATTTTTGTGAAAGAATGAAAGATCTGATAACCCCTAGGCTTCTAAAGTGAGACAGAAGGAAGATGATAATATATATTTTGCTAAATATGATGTTGAAATAAATCTGAGGAAAGAGCTAATGTGTTCACCTTTGGAAGATTTAATTTTTTTTTTTTTAATTTTATTATTTCTGTGTGAGTGTACCGTCAAATCAGATCTGACTGGTACAGGAGGAGACTGCCTCTCCTTTCCCTGGCAGAGCATCTGGTGGATTCGAACCGTGCGCCTCCCTCTGGGATTGTAGTTGCAGCTCCTTGCCACTAGGCCACCAGAGCTCCCCTGGAAGATTTAAATCTTAAGAGCATATAATTGTAGGTGAAGTTATGGTAAGTGATGAGATCACGTCTAAAAGCCAGTAAGAAGAAAAAATGGATAAAAAGCAGATTTTTAGGAGATATCAACAGAGAAGGAAACAAAATGGAAACTGAGAAGTAATTCTTAGAGAAGTAACAACAGAAAGTAATAGAGCTCTGCAAGTCAGGGAAAAGAGAATTTCAAGTACAAAGTGAACCCACAATGTCAAGCTTGAGAAAGTATGACTGAAACTAAGCGACTGGATTTGGTGATTAAGAGTTCAGTAATAATCTCAACAGTAGGAGCAGTATCCTCAGAGTGGTGTGTGGGGAAATTACTATACATTTGGGAAAAGAATGAAATAAGGTTGAAGACAAGCTGCTTTCAAACAGCATTAAATTATTTTACCCATCACTGAAGGAAGGCTCTGTTCTTTAATAGCACTTGTATCAACAGTACATTGTTCCAAGAGTTGAGCTTCTAACTCTCTAAAATTTAAATTGAAAAAAAGAAAAAAAATTACAGGAATGAAAATATTATAATTGATTAACTATTTTTAGTTTGATACTTCATAATAGATTAAGATGCTTTAAATAAAAATTGTTTCCTATATTCAAGGCTAATAGAAAACAGAATAAAATTGTTCCTAACATATTAAAAGCACTTTGTTAAAAAAAAAAATTATCTGTTTCTAAGTTACAGGTTAAACAAACTAACCCACTGCTATCAAGTCCATTCCGACTCAGTGAAGTGATCTTCCATCAGGTTTTTGATGGTGAAAACCTATCGAAGGCACATAGGGAATTCTGGTAGTACAGTCTGTAGGGAGTTGTGCTGCTAACTCAGAAAAGAAAGATGAAAAGTCACCCATAAGATAGAAAGCCTTGGAGATCCAATGAAGGGTCAATTATGAGCTAGTTCCAAGTTGCTAGCAATGAGAGGGATTCCAAGGGTGTAAATCTAGAGGGGGGAGACCGCCCATCTTTCTCTCTCAGAGCAATTGGTCAGCTTGACTTCTGACTTTTCAGTTAGTAGCTCAACACATACTAGACTAGACCAGCAAGACTCCTGGTGTTTTCATGGCCTGAGTGAGAAGAATGTATTAAATTTAAAGACACTTACTTGTGAAGAGCTTTTCCTCCAAGGGGAAGTGCTCCCCAACAATTCAATACTGGGATTCCTTCATATATCTATAGAGGTGTCAAGGTTATTACATTGTAGGAGGGAAAAAACTTTAGTTTCCTTGATATTCTCCTCACTTTCTTCAGTATTATTCTAAATTACCTTTGGCAGTAAATTCTTATTTCTTTTAAAAGTTATTGAAAAAAAATCAAAAAAGCTATTGAAAGTCAGCCCTCGACACAAGGGTTTGATAGAATAAAGAAAATAGAAAGAAGAAAGACACAAAAAAATTTTTTAAAATTTTTTAAAAAAAAAGAAATTAGTGAAAAAAAGATTAAAAAAATCAAAAAAGTGTCTCTATCTTCTTCTCAAATGAAAACAAGTTTAAAAAAATATACACACATTATTTACTTCATCAGTTAATCTGAGATACCCAATAAAGTTGTTAGTAGCCACATGATGGATTGAGCACTTAAAATATGTTAGCCTGAACTAAGATGTGGTATACAATAAACTACACATCAAATTTAGGATATAAAAACACCCAATTTCTTAATATTTATATTACTTGTATGTTTAAATAATTCTTTTACATATATTAGATTAAATAAAATACACTAAGATTAATTTAATCTTTTTTGTCTTATTTTTTTAAAAAAGTTTAAAACTTCGTTTATAGTTGCACATTTTCTTCCCTCCTCCCTCCCCCAGGTTCACGCTGCAATGCACCTCTTGCTCTAGATTGCCATCATACGTAATTTCATCTCTTTTACTTGTACTTTAAGTGGGGCTGTTAGGAATTTTAAAATGACACATATGGCCTATATTATATTTCTGCTGAATAGTGTTGAGTTAGACAACAAACAATGCTCACTTTTAACATAAAGGGGCTTGTTATCTTGTTTTATGTTCTATAAAGTACAATAGTTATAAAATAAGAAGAAAAATTATACTTGTAAGAACTTAAGTTTTAGAGATAAATAAGATAAAATCCTGACTACATTCTTAGACTCCGAGTTATCTATTGCATAATTTTAATTTATAATTTATTTACTGCAAATGCTATTTATGCTATAGGGTTATTATGAGAATTAAAAAAAAAGGATTTTGCCTACTTTAGTTTAGAATTTCAAAATTGTAAGACGCTTAAATTCATGTAATTCAATATCTTTTTCAGTGAACTAGTAGCCATGGCAACACTTTTTAAAGACAAATACCTAATCTATCTAAATGCTTTTAATAATAAAGAATGTACCAGCTCACAATCAATAATTACATTTTTGGGACAGGATGAATTATTGGGAAGTTCTTTTTAATTGTGAATATTATAAAAAACTGTTAACAGTGAGCAAGTTAGTATGTGCCAGGTGCTGTGCTAAACTCTTAGTATGCATGATTTCACTCAACCACACATTTCTATTAGGTGGGATGATTAAAATTTTTTTAAAAGTTCCCATTTTATAGATAAGAAAATGGGTGACTAGAGAGGTAAAGCTAGTGTCATGTAACTATTAAGATGCATAGCTGAGATTTACATTTGTTATGCTTATTTGATATTAAAACCCAAGCTTATAGACTCTATACTATTCTGCCTCTATGATATTCTCTGGACAATGAAAGAAAAAACACGTACCCACTTCCACTTCAGTTATTTGATAGATTTCATGTTGTCATTAAGGTTTAATTTTTCTTGATTAAGTCTCCTTATTAGAATTTCTCTACTTATTCTTTGTATAATATTTTCTTTAGAAGCTGACTATACTAGTCAATTTCTCTGACACATCCTAATTAGCTCATGATCCTCTTAAAAATGAAATACAGGGTGAATCATACAGTCACCGAGTTTAGTGGCTGGAGAAAGATGAAGGAATTAGGAAAGATCCAGAGGAGCTATGAAAAGATGGGGTAGAAGTGGGTATAGATCATTGGTGATTAATTTTTTAAGACACAAAATATGGGAATGATCATAAGAAACACAATGTGAAGAAAATAACCCCCACAAAAAAATAGTAAAATTAAAAACAAACAAACAAACAAAACAACCCACAAAAAACAAACACACAAAGCAAAACCCAGAACAACTAAATATTCACAAAGTCTGATCCAGGGGATATATTGAGACCAATCCATAATGATAAATTCTTAAATGAAATATACTTCTATCTCATAATTCTATTAATTTTCCTACAAGATAATTCACAGCTACACATGACAACTCAAAGACAGTTTGCTGCATCAAAAACAATTTATAATAAGAGGAATTATCTTAGTTAAGAGTAAAAATTACAAAAATTGTCTGGTTAACAATAAAAAGATACAGGTAACACCAGGCTTTCCCTATATCCACAATCCAGGACCATGGCAGAATTAATCCCAAGAGTCAGAAGAGCCATTAGATGACTTGGAGCAAATAAGACAGATGGTACCTAAAAGACAACAATAACAAAAAGACCCAACAGAACTAGAATAATTATCAATATTGAAGGTGGTAGATAAGATTAATGAAAAAGGATCTTATGGACAATAATTAAGTAATATTACTAGTATCAAGAGGTAAATCTAATTCCTAGCACTGCTTGCTTACTTACTTATCCTAAAGGAGTTACTAACACATTTGTTTTTCCTGATACAGAAATTTAAAGCCTAAACTGAACATAAAAAAGCATGAAAGCTAGAAAAAAGGAAGGAAGTCACCATAAATTCTATAGCACAAAATATACCTCTAAATGCTAAAAAAAGTCCTCATCAGAAAAATCCCTACTGTAAATCAATCAATCAATCACTCAATCACAATAGCACTAAATAAAAATAGCAAAGTGAGTACCTTTAAGGTTTGAGTGTCTTAAAAAAAGTGAGAGAGCACAAATTCCCTAAAAACAGAATTTTACTGCTTCTCTACTTCTGAAGCAATCTACTCATTTGATTTAAAAAGAAGTACCTCAAAATATTTGAAAAGAACTCGAGCAAGCGTCTCTCTGAAGTGGGAGGGACATAATACCGACTCGATAACCACAACTCGGCGGTCTCTAGGATTAACCAACAGATGCCTGAAAAGTGAATAGTTTTGAAAAGTTACAAAATACATTTCAGTAAATAATATAATTGGGTAGTAAGAACACAGCAACTGTACTACCTTAAGATATTTTTAAGACCAAAGACCATTTTTATTATCCTCAAAAGACACAATATTCTTGACCTTATATTGTATGCTATGTCCAGTGATAGAAACTTTATATCTACTCACTCATTTATCTCAAAATATTACATTTTGGTTATTAATATGAACCATTAAAAAGCTATTTTCTTTTTTCAGTTATAAAAGTTAACATGCACCGAGTTACACAACTTTGTAACTTGGAAAGTACCTCCTCAGTGTTACTGCTCACTTGATAAGTCTATTACTTCACATTTCAATTAGTCCATCAAGATGAGTAAGGGTAGTTTTTCCCCCAGATATCTAAAAGTCTATTTATTTATAGAATATATTTACTTTTCTCAGTATTAATAAGTTTTGTTCTGTTTCTTTTTTAATGATTTTCTGCTTTGTTCTATACTTTTCTTCCACTCTGGATTGTTTACTGGAATCCTGATCAGGGTGAGGAACTGTAGAAACTGGGCACTGTCTATTTCTTCTGGTGTCAGAGTAGTAGAGATAGTGGTTTGTGTGGTCCATTAGTCAATTCCATTAGCTTAATTATTTGAATGTACAATAATTTAATCATTCAATTCTTTTTAGTGATGGACATTTGATTTGTTTCAATATTTCCTTATGCCTGCCAGATTTTGAAATTTTTTAAAAGGTTAAGAATAAATGAAAATGTCAGTGAATATCAACTGAGGGGTTTTGGCATCAGATGTCTTATATCCAATTATTACTATGACTGCCATTAGGAAAACCTACTTAATCACAAAAGCGGAAATATCCCCCAAATACCAAAACAAGACAAGTCCAATATATCTTACCTGAAATACAGTATGTGGATGAATTCTTTCAGGTAGGAATATAATTCTTCTGTGTTGATATTATACTGGACAACTTTAACAGGCTATAAAATGTAAAATTATTGATTAATAT